TAGTTTAAAAAAATGTTGGTTAAATCAACAATGAATCAACACTCAAGTCTTCATTCCAACTAAAATAATTTCACCAAAATTCTATAATTATAATTTAGCTTAAAATTATGCAGTTGTTATCATATTAACTTACTTGTAGTATTTAATTTTAATGATTATGTCAACTTTTCAATTTTCAAGAAGTTTTTATTTTTTTTAAATGCTCCTTTTTTTACAGTAAAACCTCACTTCAACAATATTTTTGGAACCAAATAAATATATTGTATTAGAGGGATATATTGTTATATTGAGGACCTACATGCTTTGTGGACACAATAAGATTTTTTTTAAATTTTAATGTTATATATGTATTAAATATAAATGTATATATTAATTTGAACATTGGTTAATTATGTTTAAATATTAAAACAATTGTAGTAAAATAAGATTGCAAACATATCTGAAAACCGTTTTTATTGAAAATAATCCGATATTTTTGTTTGTTTGTTCATTCTCCTGACTGTAAAGTCAACCAACAGTCAGAAGAATGAATAAACAAATTGTATTGAGTTCAAAGTACGAAAATGATTTTTATTTGTGATTGGTGCTCCATCCACCCTCTACGGAAAAAATTCTGTTTCTGTTGATAATGTGATATGCTTGTAGTAGTTTGTGACTCATGATCAGCTTTTAACGTGAAGTAAATGAAATCAGATGATAATGTTACATCAGTGACTTCTTAAGAGATAAAGGATGTAATTCTAAAATTGGAAGTTCTTGGGGGGGGGGGTCAACAGTGAGTCTTTTCTTGTCAGAAAAAAAATGGGAAAATGACAAATGATGATAAAATAAGATTTTTTACATTATTTAAAAACCAATAATAAATGGAGAAAATAAGGTTGAAATCTGGAGAAAAAAAAATCATTTTACAGGGGTTTATTGCTTCAGCGAATGTCGTAATATTGAGAGAAGAATAACTTAGGTTTATATGCAAATTCGCCGGAACCACAAAACATAATCGAAGTAGAGGTAGTTATTGTTGCATTGGATATTGTAGTAGGGAGAATTCACTGTATTTTATTATTTCTTGTGCTTTATATCTCTTTTGTGAGTTTCTGGTACAAATGTTTTAACCTCCAAAGATTGAACATGTTTCTGAAATTCACATTAATGCAATTCACCATTTTTGTTTAAGCAATTATTTTGTGTTGTATTTTAATATGCATTCTTTTTTGATAGTGAATGACTACATGATGCTATAATTCTTATATTATTTGAGATGCTATTTTTCATTCCAGGGTGATACAAAGCTTTTAGCTGGAGTCAAAGCTGAGTTGAGTACGCCCCTAGCTTCTTCTCCTGACCGAGGCCGAATCGAAGTTTCAATAGATATGTAAGAGCCTACAATATTTATACAGTAAATTTTTTTCTTCAAATATCGAATGTTCCGACAAAAAATATTCTCTAAATTTAAAAATGCAATAGGAAGTCTCTTATCCGGAATGGTCTGCAAAAAAGATTTTTCCCTATAATAGGTCCTTAGGATAATATGCCAATTTCATTCAACGACACTTTTTTATAGATAGAATAACATCTAAAAGTCTAAAGAATGTTTACCGTCGTGATGGTGTCATGTCCACGAAAGATCAGATGTACCCATGGGTTAAAAATACACTCAGAGACAGCAATCTTAGTGATCTTGTTTATGTTGAATTGCTCTACGTTAAAGATAGGGTATTCCCCAAGGAGAGCTTCAGAAAATATCGTAATATTGAGAGGAGAATGACATTAATTCATATGAAAGTTTGTCAGGACTGCAAAGCATTATCGTAATAGAGAGAGTAATTGTGTTGTATATCCTAGTAGCGAGTGTTCACTGTGTATATATATATATCTCTTTGAGAAAAAGAGATTTGTTTATTTTGATTGTTAAAGAGTGTCTAGAAAATAGACCCCTCTGGTAAACGAGACAACCGGATATCTTAAACGAGACAACCAGATATAGGTCTTTGTACTGTTCAATCAAACTCAACTGCAACATGAAACTAGAGACTTTTTGCTATGTCTCAAATGTTTTGAAAGAAAGACAATTTGCTTGTTAAATGAGAATGGGTTAAATGATCAAAGATGGAAACTGTAATTCTCACAAATGACCTAGAAAATGTTTAGAAACGATTGACTATTGTGACAGTGTGCAGAGTTCTATTGTAGCAGCGAGTCAAATGACACTGTATTTCTGACATTTAGAATCAGAGTCTAGAATTTTTGAATTTCTGAAAAACTTTGATTGAAACTTGATCATATTTTTAAATTTAACCCTACAATTGAATGGAAAAAACATTTCCAATTTGCTGCTGCTTCTTTTGGATTCTTGTGCGGAAATAGTCTTATAAAAATAGATCAAGACTAAATCAAAGTCATTGCATTGTTTATAATGAGGATTATTTAAGTTATTTTTATCTGACCAAAAAATGATCAAATTGGAGAAAATGTCATAGAAAGGGAAAAGAGAAATCTGATTATCCAAAACCATTTAAAACAAACTTTTCTTTGATATGTAATTCCTTATTTCATTTGTAAATTATTTTTTTTTAACTATCATGTTAGTTTTTATCAGTTTACATGATTAGATTTCTGAATTAGGGTTTCCTAAGCAGACAGTTTTCTTGGTCCTTTGAACGTCCAACTCACCGTGGTTTCACTGTGCTTTTAAAGAATTTCATACTGTTCATGCAGAACACCTTGTAAATAATGTGCCCTTTTTTCTGAGTAGCACTGGGTAAAAATGGCACATTATTTAGTAGTTTTCTGTATGCTAAGAACTCTCTTAAAAAATTTAACATAAAGCAATGTAATGCAATAAGATTATTATTGTTTTTTTTTGTTTTTTTTTTATTTCTATTACATTCTTCTTGACAGAAGAGGCTAAGTGTTATGTATATTTGACATAACCAAGTGGATACTTGAGCCACTGAGACAAGTTACATTACAGCCGCCACTGATACCCATTCGTGAGATAGACCATATTTACTTGTCACACAACAGGAGACAAACCCCAAACAGGATTCCAATCCCCGACCATAGGCTTCTAGGTCAAGCACGCCGAGCGCTCGGCCACCTTATATTAAATTATTCCATTGCTTGAATAGAATTAAAACAATGAAAAATAATTATTTTTATAATGTTATATTTTTATTTATGAATATAATTCCTTAGATAAATTATTGATAAATTATTCATTATTATTTACAGCACTCCTCACGCACACGTAGATTTTGAGGGGAAGGGGGGAGATGACTTTGCCTCTGATGTAAGTACACTTTTGACTCAAAACTGCAATGATGACAAATCGGTTGATCTGAAATCTTTATGCGTCATCCCAGGACAGCAAGCGTGGGTTCTGTATGTTGATATTATGGTCAGTATAAATTTTTTATTATATTATTGCCTTGCATAATCTTCCCTGTTTTTTCTTCTCAAACTGAGTGAAGGGGCTCTGATAGCCTGGTTGGTAGGGCACTGAAACAATGTCCAAGAGGTCGTGGGTTCAATCCGTTCCGCCCGAAGACTCTCCGTGTAGTAACTAATGGCTGATGCATGTTAAATCTGTGGAATCACAAAGTGCTCCGTGTTTCCATGACAAATCAATACCTCTGGGGGTACTGATCCAGGAGTTTCCTTCTCTTCTGGATTGGTTCAAAATTACAACTGTTGGACGACGGTTATAAAATAAAATGTAAAACTGAATGAAGGTTGGATCTAGGGCAGGGTTGCCACTCCACATTGAAAACCTGGAAAATACAGGGAATTTTATTTCTAATTTTTGTCTTTTAAAAAATACAGGCCTCTCATAGTGCAGTCTAAGGGATATTTAAAGATGATAGTTCAGCTATGTTATATTATTTCATTTATTAGAGCATTATTTGTTTTACGTTGAACTGTTTCTTATTTCTCCAAGTTTTTACAGCAACTAAAACTAGCAACTTCATCCTACTATAGTTCATTGGAGCACAGTGATTGTGTGTTTCCTCTTCATATATTCTGTATAATATACACTGGGAAAACACAGTGAAGTTTTTAATTGATTTTTTTTTTTCATTAGTTACTGCTACAAATTTCACTCTTTTTATTTATTCCTTTTTTTAATGTGATGATGATTTACAAAGTGCGAAAAAGGAAATAATTTGCGTGTTATCTTCCTACAAAATGTGAGAATATTGCACATAATATTAGAATTTAAAAAAAAAATGTATTACATATTCAATAAAAAAATTATTTTATTTGATCCGATTTATTTATTTGTTGAAGGTAACGCTTCTGTTCAGGGTTGTGGTTTTGGACAGGACACGTTGGTTTTAATGTCTTAAATTGTCCTAAACTGACAAAAATTGTCCTGTACTGTCTTAAAGTGTCCAAAAACTGGAACATTAGTAAAAGCTGAAAATTCTATGTGTGTAACACATAATAATTACATATATTAATGAATATTTGATACTTTTTTTTTTTAATTTTTCTTAAACTTATTAAAGAAAAATTACAGGAGAAGATTTATAATTTTTGAAGCTCCACATTTCATTGAACAAAAGTGAATACCTTATCCTTTAAATATGCTTTTAATACTGATAAATTATATTTTTGCATAAGGATAAATAATGCAATATTAAAAATAATAATGAAAATTTTTTAATAAAGCAAATAATTTTCTTCATTTTGCTTCTTGTTCAAAAATTAGCATTTTATTTTTCATAATATTTTTTTTTAAGTTACGACATAATTTGAGTAAATGGGTTTTAGACAGTTTTGGCCAAGACTGCTTAAACCGTTGATTAATCCATTCTGTCCTAAACTTTGCCAACTCTGCTTCTGTTATATTAAATTAGTAGATGTATATTTGTAATTATTAAAAGTATCTTGCAGAAAGATATTAGTATTAGAGAGTCACAGAAAGCCTGAAAAATTCAGCCACTATTATTTCTACTTTTAGCAAAGTTTCTTTTGAACAAGTATTTTGTAGACTAACATGATTGGTAAGGTATAAAAAAAAAATTTCATTTTACGAGCTCACGCAACTTTTTAGTATTATTTTAATGTATATTTTTTATGTTTATTATAAATTTTTTAAATGTAAATATTTTTATATTTCGTTTCCTAAATATTACATTTTAAATTAAATTGAAATAAATAGATTGATGAACTTTTTTTGAGGTTTAAAAAATTTTTTCAGTTGCTATGATATGCTTTTTCATCTGATTAAAAATTTACTTTCTTCAAATTTAGGTTTTAGGATATGGTGGAAATTATATTGATGCTGCATCTATTGCTGCGAAAGTTGCATTGTATAACACAAAGTATGTTGAATTGCTTTTTTAACGCCTTAAAATGAACTCTCCAAAGAAGGTCGTAGAAAATAATTTCGTCTTTCACGAGAGTGACTATTCAGTTTCATGATCAATTATAGATCCCCTTATTATTTCTTAGTATCAGCGTCAATTCGTCTAAAAATTAACAGAAATTTAAAGAAGTTTTGAATTTAATAAAATAAACACATTTTCAGTTTTCTCTGAGAAAAAAATAAATTTTATTTTTATTTTATATAAATTGCTAACATATTTAATTTTTAAATAATGCTTTCTTTTTAATAAACATTTTTTTTCATTTCTTTCTTTAAAATTTTGTACTAGTACCTTTGTATTTTGAAACTTTAAAGTTAAAATTTAAAAGTTTATTGATATAGTTGTAAAAATTTCTTATATTAGATATAGTGTTTGACGATAAATTATTTTCTGGATTATGGTTGCCATTTACACTGTCAAAAACAATATATTTGAGTTTTTATTTATAAGTTTTAATTTTCAAAAAATATTGAGTGATGTTATCACTCTTGCTCACCAGCTCTTTGTATTTTATATGCATTCTGACATAATAAACCGTGTCCCTGATTATCCCGGGTAAACTCTGGCATAGATACTTTTTGTTTTATCACATTTTTATTCGACTGGAAGCAAAACAAAAAACAATAATAATTTGCTGTGATTGGAAGTTTGCCAATTTTTGTTAGGGAGTTTTGCTATTTGTGGGACTGCAAACGTTTTTGTACAATTGTATATACGATGGTTGATGAATTTACATAGCAACAAGAGTAAAAGAAAATGGCGTTCGTGAGCGAAAGTGGAAGTAATGCAGATGATTTTTCAGATGATGAACATATACAAAGACTCATATTTACCTTTTTTCATTTGCCCGATATTTGAGATAGTAAACTGATTTTAAATTAAATATTTTTTACACATAAAGAAAATTAAAATGTCAATTTAGAACTTGTGTATTATGTTTTGTTTAAGTTCCTTGTATTTATTAATGAAATGAAAAAATATGTTGATTTTTTTCTTTTCAAAAAAATTGGTAAGGGGTTAAACCCAGTGTTCGTACAGACTCCTTATACTCCTTGGAAATAAAAAAAGTCTCCAAGGAGTACTTGAAACTACTTAGATTTTCATTTTAGATATTCCAAATTAGTCCTTAGAAACTCCTTAGATTATTGCGTTGCATAGATGAACTTACTAAGTCCGCTGATGAATTTGCTGTCAAAATCTAATAATTTAAGAAAAATTTTAAAAGAAAAAAATTTATTTTGCAAGAGTTTGATTAAAAAAATAACTGCAAATTATTTTAATTCTACATGTTGCAAGCAAACTTAATTAATGATTTACTGTAATTTTTTTTTTTTGTATAAGATGCCCTAGATTTTCTTATGTATTAAAATTTAAAAGTATAAGATTGGTAGGTTTTTATGTTAATCTTTAACATCTATACTTTAACAAGATTTATTAAAATATTTGAAACTGGAAAATGTATTTAGGTGGGAAAGTGATAACTTTATTTATTTTTCTTGATGAAGTCTGACAAAGTCAAAATTTATATCAAAAGGATTAGAAAAAAATATCTTACGCAAAATATACATTTTTGCAAGTTCTTTATAATAACTGCTTTTTAATTTGGAAAAAAAAAACTGTCTCGTTATCTTTTACACAAAGTTTTTAAATTTTGAACTCCTTGGATACTCCTTGGATTTCTTCTTCTGATCTCTGTATGAACCCTGGTATCAACATCTCAATTTAAGCAAATTTGACATGTTGAACAGAAATTCATTCTACTTGAATTGTATCAAAAATTTTAGGACAATTTTATAAAAAAAAACTCTTATGACTGATTTTTTTTTGTATCAGAAACTTTTTTATGGATGAATTTAATATGCAATCACTCATTCAACTGCTATTTTTAGCAGAACCAGTAATAAGTAAAGATGTTAAAACAGAGATTTCTTGTTTCAAAATATTTTATAAATTTCATTGCTGGTTTAATTATCATTTGAATTCATTTAATGAATGATTTTATTGTTATATCTTGGGACAAGCATGTTGTGCCTTAAGAATAACTCAAGGTACAAAATATTTGTAATTTTAATTTTCTGTTGCAACCCCTTAAATGCATGCAAAGTTATTTCTGTATCTTGTGATTCTGAGTACTGAAACAACATTTAATATCACCAAAATTTATTGAGAGTGAGTTAACGACAATGCCAACCTTCATCTATGAAAAGATACCCTGATCTAGAATTGAGTTAACGTGTCTTATACACTTAGTGAATGGGAATTATGTATTTGTAGTGGTAGATACACTACAAAAAGATCCCCTGAAATGAGTAATTATTTTTGTGATATTTTTAATAGATAAAATTTTGATTACTCTTTTCTTTTATTATTTCTATTCTTATCTTTTATGGTCCTCAGACTATTGTATTGTTTTATTTTATTCGGGCTATACTAACACAAGAGTCACAATGACTTAGTGGTTAAGGCACTAAACTGTCATCGCAAAGAACTGGGGTTTGATCCTGAGTGGGGGCTTGAAGCCCACCCAATTTCATATCAATGGGTAATTGTCAGTCTGGGAAGTAAACAATCATTGCCAAAATCGTATTTTATTCGGGCTATACTAACACAAGAGTCACAATGACTTAGTGGTTAAGGCACTGAACTGCCATCGCGAAGAACTGGGGTTTGATCCTCAGTGGGGGCTTGAAGCCCACCCAATTTCATATCAATGGGTAATTGTCAGTCTGGGAAGTAAACAATCATTGCCAAAATCGTATTTTATTCGGGCTATACTAACACAAGAGCCACAATGACTTAGTGGTTAAGGCACTGAACTGTCATCGCGAAGAACTGGGGTTTGATCCTCAGTGGGGGCTTGAAGCCCACCCAATTTCATATCAATGGGTAATTGTCAGTCTGGGAAGTAAACAATCATTGCCAAAATCGTGTCGTTGGTCATGAAATTGTGGAGCCTTAACCTCCCTGATCCTCTTGGCTTACAATGGGCTGTTAAGGGAATGCTTGACTTTTTATACTAACACAATATTAGTAAGCACTATTTTTGCAGATATAATCGTGAGAGCTGATGACAAGATTATATATTTTCGTTGTTACATTTTCTAGTTTGAAATAATTATTTAAAAAGAAAAAAAAAATCCCATTTTAAACATTTCTCTTCAAAATCTATTTCTTCCCCTTTTTTTTCTTTTTTTTTTTTTTTTTTTTTGTCCTTGTTTTCTTTGTGTTTTTATTTTATTCTATGTACTTGCTGCTTATGAACAGTTAATAAATTATAAATTCTGAATTTTTCTTATACTTTTTTTCCCTTTCTTTCATTCTTAATTGTTTCTTATATATTCATATATATTTTTCTTGATGCAGGTGTTTGAGCAGCTCTAACTAAAAGCTTTATTTGTTTATATATAACTTTTCTTGTTTTGTTTATCATTAGATAGACGAATTACAAATGTGAGTATTAAGGGATGGGTGAAAAGGTAGGGATATCATATTTTAAATAGGGACTTCTAGAGAAAAAAAACTCAGATCCATATGAGTCCTTGGTCCTAAGAACCAGTAGTTTTCAAAGTCTCTCCCAGTTACTGTACAAGTTTATTTAAGTTATAGGTATAGTTGCAGAAATTTTGTTTTTTCTTAAACAGTCCTATAGTATAATACTCTTTGGTTTAAATACTATTAATAAAGCTTTTGATTTGTTCAAAACAGTTTCAAAAACATTACTTGTGTTATCAAATGAATGAATTTCTTTCTAACCTTCTTGTTGGAATCAATGCTGTAGGAAATAAATTGTCCTCACATTAGTTCTTTTCCTTACGGTTCTGCATTACCTGTTTTTATAAATGAAGTTTGAACTGACTTTGTACAATATATATTTTCTTATTAAAATACCTCTGTGGCAGAATTTTTTTGAGCTAACTGCAACAAAAATTCTCTGTCACTAATATCTTTCTGCAGGATATTTTTTATAGTAACAAACATATATGTAACTAATTTAAAATAACAAAAGCACTGTGTTTACAAAAATTATATATATATATTTTAATTAAACATGTAATAATTTTTGATTCTCATATTATGGATGATATTCTCACATTTTGTTGGGGGGAGGGGACGCACAAATTTTTTTCCTTCTTCGTAGTCAGTAAATAGTCATCAAATAAATTAAAAATCATGTGAATCAAACTCCTCAAATATGTGTTTCATTTCAAGATTAGGTTGTTGAAATAAATAATATCATATAAAAAATATCGGATTTAAAAACTATGGAGATATCAATAAAAATAAATGGCAAAAATTGGATAGAATTATTGCCTTAAAAAGTAAATATTGAAATGCACAATTCGAGTATTCCATATTATTGGAAATATATCAGGATATTTATATGCCTGATATATTTCCAACATTATGTCTCAACGTTACCATGTGAAAATTAATATATGTAACTGCCGAAAATAAAATCCAAAAATTACATTGATCTACAATACTATTGGCGTAAATTGAGCATGTCAAAAAGGGATTATCTAAATTCATGATTTAAATTCATGCATGATTATCTAAATGCATGTGTGAATTTCTGTATAAAAGAAAGATCTTTCTGCAAGAAATCTTTAATGTTCTTCGACAATGTCGCCCTGTCGCTGCAATTCTGCCACTGGGACTAACACAATATTAGTAAGTACTATTTTTGCAGAACTAATTCTGAGAGCTGATGATGAGATGCAAACTCGTCATCATCTCTCACGATAAGTTTATCGAATTCTATGCCACCTATAATTCTGGTAAAGAAGTACTGTAGTGTGTCTAACACTTTAAAAATACAATTCCAATTCACTAGTATATAAGACTTGTTAACTCGATTCTATGATGGGGTACCTTTTCATACAAGGGGTGATCAAATGAAAAGGTACGAAACGACACGGTGGGTACAAATGTAGACTTTATTCAAAATATTCACCATAGGCCTGAGCACAACGATCCCACAGATGAACAAGACGCAGGATTCCTTGTTCCCAGAATTCCTGTGGCCGTGACGAGACCCAGTCCTTCACTGCGTCCTTGAGTATGTCGTCCGAGTAGAAGAGCTTCCCTTTCAGGTGTTTCTTCAGTGGACCAAACCCGTGGAAATCGCAGGGTGACATGTCCGGACTGTAGGACGGATGGTCCAACGTCTCCCACTTGAACTTGGCCAGTTCCATGTATGTGACTATGGAGACGTGTGGACTCGCGTTATCATGGAGCAGAACCACTCCCTCCGTGAGCAGCGACGGTTTTTTGTTCTTAATGGACCTGCATAGGCGTCAGAGTGTCTCACAGTACACATAGGAGTTAATGGTTTTTCTGTGCTCGAGGAAATCGGATAACACCTCGCTGCTCCTCAATCGTCGAATTTTGCAACGCAAACGCCATCCTGTCCTCATACGGACTGCCGCATCATTTGGACGCCGCTTTTGATAAGAGCCTCTGCTCTCTCCTGCGCATGTGGGCACCAGCGCATGCTCCAATGCCAGTCAGAGACTCCAATCGCATCCCGAGATGTCTCACTACAGTCTCCCATAGCGGAATATGAAAATATTTAACTGTTGCGTTTTTACGTCATTTCGTACCTTTTCATTTGATCACTCCTTGTATATGAAGGTTAAAATTTTCCAAATCTACTATCCCCACATTTTTGGCAATTTTTCTACAAAAATATGAATTGTTGTTGAAAACAAATTTCAATCTTTTTTTAAGAATTCATTGTGTGAGCGTGAAATGTGATGATGAGAATGAACCTGAGATAGAAATCTCTGATGATCCTTACGATGTTTTTTCATTGGACGTTACCAATCTTCCAATACTCATTACTCTCTATAGGGTGAGTTCTATTTTTTTAATTCCACTTTCATTTGTAGGCCAAAGGCGTAGTTTTTATATATGTTCAAGAAGGGTTATAGGTCATCTCCTTCTAATACATATATATTCTGTCCTGCAGTGGACTGATCGTAACAACGCGGTTCCCAGTACAACACCAAAGTCAAGCATCGCTAGCTGCGGTCAGTGAGTGGGTGGGCAACCACTTTGATTAGCTTGTGTAGGGGGTGCGCAGTATCGGTCCTCGTTGAACTGTTTCACCGTAAAGTGGTTATCAGCTCTAGTGCAACCTAAATAAAGTACCTACCTGCCTACATACATATATATTCTAAAAGTTTAAATTACAAAAAAATGAATAATGAAAACTTTTTTATATCTACATCCTACTTACTGTATAATAGTTAATTATTCAATTAATGTTTAATTTTGGAGGGTGTTTTGTCCCCGAACCCTCCCCATAACTATGTCACTGGTCTATACTAGTTGTTTCCAAAAGTTATTCCAAGGGGTTCTGTGGAAAGAGTGCAAAGTTTTTATGTCCATCCAAGGCATATATATGCCTTGACCCTTGTTGTTCTCATAATAGGCTTAATATGATTTACAATACTATCGGCATAAATTGAATGTGTCAGAAAGTGATTATTTGTATCTGTGATTAAAATTTTGCGTGTAGAAATAAAATCAACTGAAAAATAACCAGATTTTTAGAAACCCTGTGGAAATTGGTAGCACTAGCAAATAAAAAGCTTATTAAAAAAAAATAGTCACATTAAAAGTAAATAATCCACTAAAAAAAATTGAACTAATTGTTGGTTGAAAGTTGTATGAGAAAACATCGTGACTTGTTATTTTTCGAAATGTGAAAATCCATAGCAATAACTGTCGAATGAATGATTGGAACTTTGCATGAATTCTTGAGTGATCTCTTGTAAAAAAGTAATCAGCAATTCAAACTTCGCGTCCCGTAATAATATAAATATTTTTTTAAAAATAACGAGAATATTAATGACTTATCGTCGTGATTACAAACATCAGAATTTAAAAATGAAGAAAAATGCATTGCAATAATTGCCGAAAAAATTATCAAAACACTGCATGATGAAATGAGCGCATGAGTTTTGAACAATATAGACTCAAAAGTGTGATTTAAAATTTTCCTGTGCCGAATGTATTAAAAATATTGGATAGATTTTATTTCACCCAAATAAATAAAAAAAAGAGGAACCAATTTCACATCGATTAACTAATTTATTATTTTGTTAAATTTATAACATAATCCCCACTCCCAGTCGAAATTTATGAAAATTTAAAATATGGTGTTCTTTAGAAAAGGAAAGAAAGAATATGATTTCTAATAAAAACTGTTCTTTGAAGTTTTGCAATTTCAGATTTTTTTTTATTTTTATAAATGTATTATTTAAATGAAATTCTAGCGGACGCCAGTCATTATCGGATATTTTTTATTCTCAAATTAGAATAGAAAAATCATGAACTTTTCTTTCCCCTCTGATGTAGGAGAAAGGTATCTTTTAAATACCATTCTCATAGCTGCCAACTCTACTGGATTTTGCCAGTTTCTCCTGGTCTACTGGTTTAATTAAAATTCTTCTGGTTTTTGTACATTTTAGAAAATTCCCTAAAATTGTAAGTTTCCTAAAAAAAATCCCTATTGAAATAAAATATTTTTACCAATTATTATTGCTTGCTTGAATACTTAAATAAGTATTTTTAATACATAATGAAGCTTGCCTCATTTATAAAAATCAGTTTAGAACCTTTAATTTTGTTCTAAAATTTTTAGTCTTGTTTTTATTCAAAACTTTTTAAATTTCATTAAGAAATCATTTAACTATCTTTGATAAATTAAATGCCTATTAATATTCGAAATTATAAGTAAACATAATACATAACTTTTCAAGTATGTTGAATGTCAATCATAACTGGAAAATTTTGCAGTCTTTCTATTTTGATAACTATAAAAATCCCTAAAATTCCCTTTGTATAAAATGTTTAGTATATTATGAAACAGTTATCATAAAATTTGTATTTTGCGAAATCTCCTGTTTTTTTTTTTTTTTTTTTTTTTTTTTTTTTTTTTTTTTATCCATGTTGACAGCTATGAATTCTAGAGAAAAAAATTCTTTCGAAAATTTCTGCCAAAAAGAAAACCAATTTTTTTTTTACTTCATTGTTCTTTATTTTTCATTATTCTCTCATAAGATTAGAAAAAATCATAAGTATTTTTTCCCCTTCCGATACAAGGAAAACAAATCTTTCGAAAATTTCTGCAGAAAAGAATACTAAAATTTTTTACTTTCCTAAAGAAAACTCTTCAGCATTGCTGCATTGGGACCTTCTATTGATAATTTTTATAAAGAAAAAAGTGTGCTCGCAAGGCATTAGAGAAGAATTTAAAATGCTGAGGAGAATTTTTTCAAAATGTAAACAAATTGGAGAAATCTCCCAATAGAAAAGCATGGAGAGTACACAATTGATAAGTTTAGGGGAAAGTGAATTAAAGTAAACCTAGAGTAAGCGTTTCAAATACAGAAAATTATGCTTTCAAAATGCAAGATAATTCCCAATGCCCCTGCCATAATTTGTTTGATAACCTTGTTTCAGCATTTGAAATTTCATATCTTAATCAAGGTTACCACTCTACAGGGAAAACCTGGAAAATAAAGGGAATTTAAAAATCACCTAAAATAACAGGGAGTTTTGATTTCACCTTTACAAACTAGGAAAATACAGGCAATTCTATTTAAGGATGATATTTCAGCTATACTAAACTATTTCATTTGCTCTAGTATTATTTAAGTATATTCAGCTGTTCTTTTTTTAACTTTCCCAACAGTTATAACTAATTAAATATAGTTAGTTCAATATAGCTCACACAAGAGGGCAGTAATTGTTGTGATTCCTGTTAATATATTGTGTATAATGTGTACAGGGAATTCTTTTCTTCTTCAGATTTGAGCCGCAACCTTGTTACTGCAGTAACATAGTTTCTCGTAATTTGAAATTACCAATGGAGGTGCCATCAGTGTTTCATTTGTACTTATAGTGTGACGTTTGAGGGTAGATAATAATAATGATTGTGTGTGTAGATAGGTGGAGAATTTATAGTGGATGCAACAGCAGAGGAGGAATCCTGTTGTATAGCAAAGTTGGTGTTGGCTGTTTCTCCAAAAGAAGTTGTCAGGATGAAACAGATAGGAGAATCTGGCAGCATTCACATTGAGAGTGTGCAGGATGCCATAGAGGTATATTTTTTAACTCTCATTTTTTTCAAAAACCCTCAAGAGCAGTCATTGACGCATGTATTATTTCTGTAGAAGGCCTAGTGATGCTAATACTCAAATATGTACAAATCATAATCATTCAATTAGAAATAATCATTGTCTACAGTAAAATTGTTTTATTTAAAAGGATGGATTTGCATAATTTTATTCAAAACAAATAATTAAAAAATAAACAGCTTTTTCAACAAACAATTTTCTTCTTTCTATATGCAAAAAAATATTTAAGAAAGCAAAAATTTTTGGATTTATTTTTTGCCAGTATTAACGAGTGCTTGACTAACATACATGGTTTTAATTTCTGTTTTTCTTTTCAATCATAGATTAGAATTTAAAAATAAGCATCTTTAAGCTAATTTTATTTTTTTAGGGGGCTGACTTTACTTATTTTTTTTTTACTTTTAAGAATCTTTTTTTCCTTCTCTCTTTTTTTTTAATCTTATTTTGCTGGAAGAACTTTTTTTGTTATTTGCTGTATCAACTCTTTTGTAAGTATGGCACTATAGCTCGTTCACCAGGAGTTGACACTTGACTCCGCCTTGATGACGTGGTATCCGACAATACTATTTCGCTATTTTTGGTAGAAGGTTGTGAGTAATCCTAAACAAGGTTGCTATTTGGCGATCGTACAGCGAAAATATTTATTTGCGTTATTTTTAACATTAAATATTTCATAAATTTGATATTCTGCTCCATTTTTTATATTTCTTTTTTTTTTGCGTGAATAGAGACATTTTGCTGGGAAAACAGCAGTTTTTAAATTTAAACTATATTTAAATAGCTAGAGAAACGAACGGTATAATAGCATATGTTAAAGCGAAGTAAGTGACTGAAAAAGAATTAACTGTTTTTGTTTGGTGCACATTAAGGGTTGTCTCAATTTCAAGCTCAGAGATGTTTCTCTTCTTACTCCTGCACTGAAATGAACTCTGCTCCCAAGGGGGTGGAGCCGAGTGCAATTAATAACTTTCAAGCCTACTTATACGCTTTTAACCTATTCTTAACCTTTCAAAATTTATTATATTTTTTTTCCACTTCTTCCTCTGTTATTTTAAGGTGTAGTCTCATTATAAGGTTGCCATCTCAAAATTTGTTGTGAAAAAATATTAAAGATCACAGAACTTTCAGTCTGGCTGCTTTTCTAACTATTATTTGTTTATTTCAACCCATGTAATTAATTTTTATATTCTTTAAAGAAATAAATCTAGAAAATTTCTTATAATGATTTACCATCCAATATATGTAATAATATAAATTTAATAATAGCTGAAAATGAGCTTTAAAAATTACAATTGATGTTGATGTTTCTTTTACTTTAGATGGGTCAAGCAAAGGGAACAGTTTTCCAGAAACAGTTGATGGAATTTTTACACTCAGAGAAAGATTTACCAAAGAATAAGTTTAGATTGTAATTTGTGTTCAAGATTTTGTAGCATACTATAAAATTTCTTAAGATTTGCTGTTTTGTTTTTCCTTTTCCCACTGAAGTTTACACCTAAATAAAATTTGACCAAATCTATTGATTACTACCTGTATGATTCACTCATTTCACAACATTGTCTCAAAATGACCATTTTCATAAAATAAAATAAAAAAAGAACACTTCCTTTTATTCTACAAGCTTTCAGAAAAGTTCTCAAAACAATATTTGCACTTATTTAATTGAGATTTTAACATGCATACAATTAAGGTAGATGAATGTAAATATATTTTAATAGCATTCAATAAACTTTAAAGACGTAAACTGTATTAAAGTTAGCTCGAAATCTCCATTGACGACCTCATATTTAAGGCTGGAAAGTAAATTTCGTAAACTGCACTGTACAAATGACCCCAAGATCTCTGTGAAACTACAGTGAATCTTCAAGACTATATCCATGGGACTTTTTACCATAAATATATTTCAGTTTCTAGTCACCAAAAAATAAAATTCATACTACATTAATATTTTAAAAAATTGTTCATAATTTTCGTGAGAATAGTGGTAAATAAAATTTTAGTCAGTCTTTAGAACTAAAATTTCATGCCTGCTTCATAAGGTGTTAAACTTTGAAGTAAACCCGATAAATTCTGCTGTTGCATGTTAAAATGTTTTAAAAACTCTTGTTGAAAATTTGATCTCCGATTATCCGCTTAATTGAGTGACCCTCGAAGCGTGGATAATCCGCGAAACTCTTAAAAAAGAGACACCCATCATTTCATTTTTCAATATAAATTTCAATATCTATTAGCAGTTTTCTTTTTAAAAATTTTTTTTTTTTTAATTTCTGTATGAAAAAGCCTGCCAACTTCTTTGTTTCTTGGTGGTGGAGAACAAGAGGCTAAAATAAAACAGGCACAAGCACACTTTTAACTCTCGAGCTTATACGCTATTCTAAAAAGACGGCACATGAATTAGTTCTGGGTGAACTGAAATGGAGATGTATCATTACTCTGGTTCAGGTCATAGTTACGATCTGTGGATAAATGAATAGATATATGAATTGGTCTACCCTATGAACGGGTGTGACATACGGTTGTGGGCGAATTTGAATTCTTGATCATAGATGGCGCCACTGGAAAACAATCGAACCTCCAATGCATTAAAGGCCTACGCCAACAGCAAAAAAAGCTGAATCCGAAGGTGAGAACAAAACTATTTAAACTATCTTGCAACTTTTTTTCCTTCTCCTTCATCTAAGAGTTGTATAGTTTCGATTTCAATGATGTGTAAATTAATAGTAACATTAGAAAAAGCAAAATATCGTTTGTAAGAAAATATTTTCGTTTTGTTTGCATCTGTTGTCTATTATGAATAAAATAAATATGTGAATGAAACGATGAATCTATAAACTCAAAACGACTTTAAATAAACATTGTATTTATTAAACTATCATACAAAACAATTTAGCTAAAATAGTTTTCTGAATATGCTTGCTCTTTTTAGTAGCCCATTGTGCGACGTAAATGAACAACAGCTCTTTTTAGCGATCCTATTTCTCCCAAAAATGTTCACTTTACCGAGGTTTTCCTGAATTAAAAAGTAAAGCATGTTATTTCAGCTTTATTATTAAGAAAACTTATTTAATACACGGCATTTTAACACAGTAATTATTTATTTTAATAGCTTTACGGTTACTATAAATTGAAATACTGTTGTGACGAACTTAAATAAGTGTTACTCGTCATTGGATGTCTGGAAAAGCTGGTCCGACTCCAGGTAAAGCGGTACTGTATCTTGAGATTGAAAACCGGGTTTACTTGTGCTTCCTTACAATTGAAAAATTAACGTAAGCAACAAAAAATTCAAAATTGAGATTTTTATTTATATGAAATCTATGTATGATACATATATTGCAAATATTTTTTTTTCAAAATTAAATTTTGTTTTATCAGTTTTTTGAAATTTAAGCGTTCATAGCATTAGCAATAGAAGGAAAATAGTTGTCGAGCCACTTCTCTAGGAATCAATCATGAAGCATTTGCGTTGTTTTTTCAATTGCACGGCAGTACCGTTTAGCATTATTATTTTGCAGAGTCTGGGTAATGACCGGATAATGAAAAATTGATTGGATACTTCTGGTACCCGGGCTTTCTTCTTGTAAAAAATTGCACATGTTGTCCGTAACTTATTTATTTATTTATTTCAAATGGCAGAGGTAATTGACATGAAAAAGCAAAAACATAGGAACAAAACAAGAAAGTAAAAAGTCATTTCCATAGGAGCGCTCTTGCTTCCCAATATCGCTCGGTAGACGACGACCCGCGGAGGGCCCTGCAGCACAGGATGTGGCTGCCATCCAAAACAGCTTGGCTCATGCATAGAGAACAATAGGGATCAGGTGCCAGCCCTAAACGAAACAGGTGCGCGGCAAGGCAGTCATGTCCGGTATGTAGTCGAAACTGAGCCACCGCTTCGCGGCGCGGCCAGTCTGGAATGGTGTTCTGTCGAAGATCTCTCCACACTTTGGTTTTTACCCTTTCTGACAATTGTTGGTGGAAATCCCCATGGATTTTTGATCTAATAATCCTTTTTAAAGCTGAAAAGGGGACTGGGCTACTAAGAGCCTGGAGAATTCTTGTGCCTCTCTTTGCCAAAACATCAGCCCTCTCATTTCCTGCAATATCACAATGCCCGGGAATCCATTGTAGGGCTACAGTTTTGCCAAAATGGTGGAGTTTGCGTATCGCATCCTGACATTTTAGAACGTCGCAATTGGAAGGGCAATGCATAGATTCAATCGAGCAAAGCGCCGCCTTCGAGTCTGAAAGGATAACCACATTTGAAAAAGACTCAATAAAACAAAAAAGCTGTTCAAGAGCAATACGGATTGCAACAACTTCCCCGTCAAAAGCAGATCTATTGGCACCCACTGGAGCACCAAAGGAGAAGAGATTACAAGAGATACCAGCTCCAGCATTTGGTTGATCCGGATGGAAAGAGCCATCTGTAAAAACTCTCAGCCAGAGCGGTTCCGGGTAACGGATTCCCATTGTCTCCAGCGCAAGAAGGTGGAGAGCAGCGGTAGATGTTTCACTTTTAACAATGTCCTGTTCAAGAGAGAGCCTGACATTAATTTTTTGGTAGTCAAGAGGGCTCACCAGTTCCACCTGACCTTCTAGTTGGGGCAGATCGATCCCAACCAATTGATCTTTGACAGTCTGAATAAATCCATTTTGAGTTTTTAAATTACGAGGAGTAAGTTGATAGTTAGTCCAGAAATTATCCATTTGGGTAAGTTTAAAGTATAGTAAGACAGCCCTTTCCCTAAAGACAACATCCAAAGGTTTAATGCCTGTGAGCAAGGTCATTGCGTCTATAGGTGTAGTTTTTACAGCACCTGTTATTAGTCTAAGGGCCTGGTTTTGTAAGACCTCAAGCTTTTGAAGTAGGGATGTAGGCATAGAGATGAGTGGTTCAGAGCAGTAAGTAAAAATTGGAAGGATGTATTTTTGATAAGTCAGAGCAAGGGTAGACCGGGCACATCCCCAGAGAGTGCCGGCAAGTCGTTTTAAAATAGGGAGGCGTCTTATTACCCGTTCGGCAACAAATGCAACATGGTTCCTCCAGCTCAGTTTAGAATCAAAAACGGTTCCGAGATAAGTGAAGGAATCAACATTTTCAAGCATAGTGCCAGAAAAAGAGAGATTTGGTATAATAGGTCGATGCATTAGTGAGAAAGTTTGAGTGGCACACTTATTCAGATTTACTACCATATTAGTTTCCTCACACCAACAACTGAAGGATTCCAGTGCAAGATTAAGTGTGGTCTCAACAGCTGATTTAGCGTGGCGCTTTGATGCTGTGGTCCAGAAAACAAGATCATCCGCATATAGGAGGCAATGGATGTTAGGCACTGCCGTTAAGGTGTTTATCAAGTCATTGATGTAGACGTTGAAAAGGGCACAGCTGGTAACAGCTCCCTGGGGGAGACTAGTACGGAGATTAAAGCTTCTCGATTGAAAAAGGTAACTTGGTCAACAGTGGATCGATTTCTTCTAAAACCTGCTAGCTCGTGACGTATTAAATTGAAATGTTCCAGATACCAGTTGAGTCTCGTATTGACCATTCTTTCCATTAGTTTGGCAGTAGTACTTGTCAGAGAGATGCCATCCAAACTGTCCGTAACTTTTAAGAGTGATATTTCTAAATGACATCGAAGCATATTTTACAAGAATTGTAAATCAAAACACATTCATTAATTTTAAGCAACTGATAGCGTGATTTGCTACTCATGCTTCCAAAGTTATTTCTCTCGTTAATTTCGAATAAAAAGAAAAAATTTACGCGCATTCTCATATAACATTGCTCTTTACATTACACCTTTCTTGTTTAACTTGGATGCTCGTAATAAATGGGTTCTACTGTCCCTGTGGAATTCTTTCTGAACAGTTTCGTGCAAAAGGAGAGTCGTGGTGGATCAGGAGCTGGAACAATCTTCTAATAGGGTGAAACAGGTTCGAACCCCAACGATAACTGGACGATACCAATCAATTCAGGTTCCCGCATGCACCGACCACAGTGCTGACGTCAAATATCTTCAGTGGTAGATATGTCATGGGACAGAATTCTCTTTCCATCGGGCAAACTGTGCGAGGTTTTCTTGGTTTATCTCTCCATGTAACACAAATGCCGATTCTTGATCCAGGAGCTCTCTTGTCTCCTGAGTTGGGCTCAAAACTACAAGGCTACAAAGTTGAACATTATTAGTTAGTTGTATATTAAATAATGGTTTGGGACGTCGTTTATAAAGGGTTGAATTGATCCGACCAACTTTGCTTGTATATAATAGCATTAAAATGATAAAATTCGACGCTTTTTCCCAGAGGCTTTTTTTTTTCAGTTTTCGTATAACGATGGCTCAGGGGATAGAGCGTTTGCCTTCCAATTAGGTGAACAGGGTTCCAATCCTGCAATGGCTGGTCGATACGAATCCGACCATAGTGCTGACGTGAAATATCCTCAGTGGTAGATGGATCATGGGTAAGAGTCCCTTCGCCGTCAGACTATCCGTGGGAGGTTCTCGTCGTCTACTTCCCCATGTAAGGCAAATGCGGATTAGTTCTATGAAAAAATTCTCCATGATGGCAAATTTTTCTCTATACTTGATCCAGTAGTCACCTTGTCTTCTGGATTGGGTTCAAAATTACAGGGCTACGTAGTTGAACATTAGTAGTCGTGAACCCAAAAATTGGGTCGGCTGTTCAACGACGGTTATAAAATAAAATAAGAAAGTCTTTGTGTAAAAAGGGTATTATGATCAGCCTACTGGAGAACTCTGAAATATAAAGTAATATGAAATAACTAAAGGCCTTTAGAATGCTATTTTTTAAATGGATGCGATTCACGCAACCCCATTATCATCGATTTAGAATGAGAACTATAAGTGAAATGTAAGAACTAGCTGTGAACTAGGTAAAATTGAACAGGTGATTGAGAATGAGAACTAGGTTCAGAAAAAAAAAACTAATTAGGTTTTTCTTTTCTCGACGTTGATCGGGTCCCGCAGTGGACTGATCGTTAAGATACGGTTCCTGTAACGTATCTACCACTACAAAATTACAACTACAATTCACTAGTATATAAGACATGTTAACTCGACTCTATGTCGGGGTACCTTTTCATAGATGACGGTTGACATGGTCCGTAACTACTTTCCCCCACATTGGTGACCCGGACGTGATGTGAACACGCCTACCTTGGCAAAAAACGCCCACTTTGATCTGGATACGCTTACATCGGCAGTAACGCCTACTTCGTTGGATGGTCCACATTGAATAGTTGACTTGCTACTTGTGACTGCAACATTATCCACCTCCTCGCACTGTTGCTACTCAGTCTCGAGCACACAACGTCGGCCTGCATACACTCGACTGCTAATGGCAACACAGGAGCGACTACGACCGTGAAGTTAATACACCTCTCACATTCAGCACTCAAAAAAATAATACGGTGATCTTAATACAGCTCTCCCGGCTTCGCACAAAACAGCAATGAATCAACTAGTGGCATTCATTCATCGAATTCTATCATATCTATAATTCTGGTGGGGGAGTACTGTAGCGTATCTACCACTACAAAATTACAACTACAATTCACTAGTATATAAGACATGTTAACTCGACTCTGTCGGGGTACCTTTTCATAGATGACGGTTGACATGGTCTGTAACTACTTTCCCCCACAGTTCCCATCAGATCACCAAAGTCAAGCATCACTGGCTGCGGTCAGTGTGCGGGTGGGTGACCACTTGGATCAGTTTGCGTAGGGACCGAGGGTGTGCGGTATTGGTCCTCGTTAATCTGTGCTACCGTAAAGTGCTCGACTTCGAGTGCAGGTCGTCGGGCTACCGAAGCGGGGGTGCCATCCCCTCTGCAGAGGATCAAAATTGTGATGGCATGTCTTCGGATCATCCTCAGGGATTTTTCCCTGACCGTCGCCAATATCCCATTGTGCAGCCGTAGTGCGACGTAAACGAACAACAACAACGACGTTGATCGGAAGTGTTTGTAGTGAAAGCGCAAAATATGAGAGCCGTCCCTAAAGGATCATTTAACTGGAATTTGGTTCACTTTCTTCCTATGGCCGTAGAGAATTATTATTATTATTATTTTCTTCCTCTTTGCTGAAAAATAATTTTTACCAATACGTTTCTCATTCTCCCTCGACAGAGATCGGAAGTGTATCGCATTTAGTGAGATTGGCCCTTATTAGTTTTTACAATCGTTGCAAGCGTTAAGTTTTTCCAATATTCAATGAAGGTCGAATCCTGAACTAAGTGAAGCAAAAGCAAGCAGCTAAAAAACGTATATTTACAAACAATGATACTAATTTTGCGGTGATTTTGAAATAGTTATCAAAGATAATTTAATGCGTTTTATATTATTAAAGATCATTATATAGTTACAGTTATAAAATCCTTTATTAAATGCAATTTGTAAAATTTTTATATAATCCCTAAGATTTCAAATTTTTAGTTTCATTTTTATAATGAAAACATGCGATCTCTGCGCACTGACATTTACCTATATAAAATTTATTCTACTGCATAAAAATTAAATTTTTTTTTGTAAATTCCGCCTAATATTTATATTTTAATGGCTTTTTCTTGTGCCAATTTTTTAAAAAAACTGCAAGAAACTGACCAAGATATTAGTGTACCTGATAAATCATCATCAATTCAGACAGATGTGTGTTTCGATGCAATTGATGCCCTTGATTCAATTCTTTCAACAGTATGCAGTTTACTTACCGAAAAATCTGACATTCTCATTGAAGAAACTGTGATTCTCAGTCATAAGGGTTTGGAGGATTCTGTGTATGATAAAAATATTTCTCTGCATAGTCATGAAAGTACAATCAATAATCTAAAAGACTCTTTGGGGGACCAAAGCTCTATTTCTAATACAGGCGGTAATTATTCTGATGATGATCAGGATTGTCATATCATTGAAGAAAGCCAATCGTTTGATGACATTTTGGATTTTAAACCAGTACCTATACAAATAACTGGAGCATGGTCTGAGTTTTCTAACAAAAATGAAAATAATTATGCTAGAGGTTGCAAATGGTATATTACTTCAAAATAGCATTAATTTTATTAAAAAATGTGGGGATATTTCTGTATCGCGATCTGTTGTACCAACTGCAATCACCAAGGTGCCAAATAGATTTTAAACTTGCATATTTTTTAAAAAAAGCCTATAGATGTTTGCCTGGGGGTGGTTACGAGTTATACCTTTCGAGTTGGTCCCTTTCTGTGATGTTTGTTTTTAGTTTCTCGCTGGCCGTTGCCCGGAAGTTTCCACGACTTGGCGATTATTCTGCCACAGATCAGGATACAGATATCTCCCCAAATATGTCACCAGGGCCCGACTTAGCCTAATTGGGGTCCAGCGCAAAAACTTCTTTGTGGCCTCCTCTGCTTCATTACTTCAGTAATGAAGAGCCAAACTTATAGAAGTATTTAAATTTTTCACATCATAAATAACAAAAAAATGGACTATAACCTAAAATAGCTCCTCCCAATGGTCAGACAAAATATCGTTCTGTCCATTTTATTGATTTTCTGACAATTCTATGTCTATCATGCCGAATGCAGTTTTTTGATTGTTAACTTTGTCGTCTAGCTGTGAAAAATTCATATCGATGCTGACATTAGGGCAGAAATCATCTAAAAATTTCGCAATTACGATGGCTCAATTAAGCCAATCAGAAGCCTGTATTTTTGTAAACTTATTGCATTTTGCAATGTGCAAAAATGCAAGCTTTTGATTGGTCAAATTTATCAATTATAATTGCGAAAATTTAGCTGATTTCCGCCCTAGAAAGCCATGCATTTACGAAATGTAGATTGTGTTCATATGATCGATATAATGTAGAAGATAACATAAAGCCATGGGTGCAAGTCTTCCGTCTCCAGGACGGATTTCCGTCTTTCGAAAATGTCCGCGGACGGAAGTAAGACGGAAACAAGACAGACTCGAATGCGGAAATTTTTTTTTCTTTCTGTCCTTAAAAATATTTTTTAGGTCTACGTTATTGGTCTACTTTCTTATGTCCTGTTGTTATTTTATCAAAAGACAGATGAATAAATATTTTTTGTGCAGTATTTAAACTTGATGTATTATGGTAAAGCTTTCTTAGATAGTTTGCATATGTCGAGGGGGTATTGTGTATGTTTGGTATTTCAGTCTTTGCTTTTTTTCCAACTTGCACCCATGCATAAAGCGGATGGATTTTGCACTGTACTGATATTTTGTTTTAAAAAAGTTTATTAAAGAAGGAAATGTAAAGCAAACTTTCAAAATGTAAAGTTTGATTTGGGATCCCCTTCTGATGTAGGGAACCAGGGCAACTGCCCCGTATGCCCCTGCCATAGTCAGACTCTGAATGAGAATGTCACTTCCTTTACTAATATTTTCATTGCATATTGGAAAAATTAGCAATGCTGACTTCACAGTGCTGGGGGATTTTTTTATCAGCACTTAATTATGCTAACTGGAAAGACCAAGGTTCCACTTTTTGTTTTTCCTGCACTTGCTCGTTTGTTGCCGAAATTTCTAACCATTTTGTGACAGTATCAATATTCAATTATACAAATTATGAATGTACCTGTTAGGTCAGATTGTTTAAACTCAAGTGTGCTTAAAACTATATATTACATTTGATATTGTATTTATAAGTTTATATTAGATAGGCATTTGCTTAAACTATGTAAAACTTTCAAAAAAGGTAGTTAATTTTTTTACTGTCTGGTAAAATTAAATTATATGTCATTATCATCCATCTTAAGACTTACAGAAATGTGAATATTAATGACAGAAGTTAAGAATAGAATTATTATTATTATTTTTTTCCTGTCTTAATTTTCTATTGTTTAAAATTGTTACAGTAATTTTTTTATTTAAAACATTGATCACTATTTTCATTTTTAATTCATTTGGAATTGTCATTAACCATTGGATTAAAGTAACTTTTTCAATTCTTTGGGTAATTTTTGTATTTAAAAGTTGTATTAAGGATAAGAAAAGTAAAAATTTGTAGATGGCAAACAAAAAAAGAAAAGGAAAAAAAAAAAAAAAAACAGCAGTAGGATAACATAAGCAAACGAAGAGAAAGATAAAAACTGAGAGAGGATCGTAAAGAATATGAAAAAGCTGGAGCCAAGGAGAGTGAACATTACAAATGGCATAAAAAGAAAGGAAAGTTTAATTTGATTGCAAAATTTTAAAAAACAACAATGGGAGCAAAAAAATTCAGACTAATAATGCTCAAAATTAAAGAACAAAAAAAAAAAAAAAAAATCTCATTGTTAAATTGGCACAATCCCCAAATTAGCAAGATGTACCATCATACAGTAATAGTTCAAGTGTAAAAAATTTAACTGCCCCACACAATGAAAACAAAATGGCTGTACTAAAGAGGGTCTAATTTAGTAGAAATGTTGCTTATAGAAAAATAATAATTTTTTTTATAAGTAACAAAAATTTATTCATCTATTTAATACCTGAGAAAATTTCCGTATTGGTACTGGCGACAAAATGGTTATAAATTTTGGCACCAAACAAGCAGGTGCATATTTTATCAGTGTATGAGTTATTTGTAATGATTACTTTAGAAATAAAATTATAAATTGTTTCAAAATATAATACAAAACATTTTTAAAGTGATTTATAGTATTTCCATTTAACTTTTTAACATTAATGTTGAAAAAAAAATAAAAAAAATTTTATTATTTTTTGGTGTACAAAAATGATATTAAGGAAAAAAATTGAATGAATAAAAATAGCACAGGGAGCAAAATGAGGGAGAATAATGAACCACACTTGTTCGCATTAAACAATTACGAACTCTGATTTGAATAAAAATCCAGTGGCCGTAATTTTAACAAATTTTAGTAAAATTGATAGACAGGTTTTTGACACCCATTTCAAAAACCAGTTTTTGACGTCAACAAACCCAGCTTCTGCTATCAGGTCTATAGGTATGATGCTTTACAAAAAATGTTGTTAATTTCTTAAATAATAAGTAATTGCTTATAACAGCAATTACTTATTATTTACAGCTAATTAACAGCAATTAACAAACCCAGCTTCTGCTATCAGGTCTATAGGTATGATGCTTTACAAAAAATGTTGTTAATTTCTTAAATAATAAGTAATTGCTTATAAATGCAGTGATTAATAAAATGTTGGTGATTATTGTTCCTGAAATAAATATTTTATCTTGCATGTGGTCAAAACATATTATATACTTTCATTTTTAACTTAAAACCTCTTTTTTTAGGGCTCCTGACGGGTCATGTGTTTTGACATGCAGTGCTGACAATGTCTTACGAATTTTTAATTTGCCTTCAGAATTGTGGGACTTTTCCAAGTGGCAAGATATTTCTGAAATGGTACTTTTTTTTTATTAATTGGATTTGAAAATTTTTTTTTTATACATTGTTTCATGTTGCATAAAGGAAAAATTGTTAATAGTTTTCTGGAATGTTTTTAATCCTTTGAAGAAAACTTGTAATTAAGTGTGTATGATTTAAACTTATTGCTGGATAATGTATTTTCAAAATTGTACTATTGTACTAGTTGTTGCTATTGTACAAAATTGATTGTTCATCTCTCAAAGTATGTTTATTAGCTTTATTTCTATGCTATTATATTGCTAGCTCAAAGTGGGATTAGAATTCTGAACTGGTTTTGAATAGGGCACATGAAATTTATTGTTCTAAACTGGTCTTAAGTTGGTAAAATGCATGATTCTGAATTTAAAACTTAAATTTATGTAATCACCTTGCATTTATTGATAAATGTCTCAGTATATTTGTTACTAATGTGTAAATAATTTTAAATCTTCGTTCAATATTAATGAAAATCCCACAATTCATTGTATTTTTAAGATTATTTTAATAAGTTATAATATATATATATATATATATATATATACAGAAAAACCTTTGGCCTACTTAACGCTTTCTTTCTTATATATTTATCTGTATTTTTCCATATACATTTGTCCCACAGTACACTGATCATACAGACACGATTTCCAGCAGAACACCGAAATTAAGCGTCACTGACTATGGTCAGTAAGCAAGTGGATGTCCGCTTGGATAAGCTTGCGTAGGAACCGAGGGTGCGCGGCATCAGTCCTCGTTCTACCATAAATTGTTCGCGACTTCACGCGCAGGTCATTAGGCTACCAAAAGGGAGGAGCCAGCCCCTCTGTAGAGGAACAAAATTGCGATGGCATGTCTTAGGATCATCCTCATGGATTTTTCCCAGACCCCCGCCAATAACCCATTGTGCAGCTCTAGTGCGACGAAAATAAAGTACCTACCAACCATATATTTGTTTTCCATTTTTTTCTCATTTATTTTATATACTTCATTTATTTTAGACCTAAAACGTAAAGTAGTATTTGATTGTAAGAATAAATGGTTATCCATGTGAAGTTAAGAATAGATGGCGGGAGCAGTTAAATTTGCTAGTAAGACTTCCGGGTTACCGTTTACGTTTTATTTTTGCGTCGAATTTTAAATAATTAAATATTTTTCATTGTACTATTACTATTTACAATACAATTTGTTCTTTTTACCATTCAGTTTTTAAATTCATTTACTTTTAGGTAAAGACATCAAAAATGCGGATGACAGGGCAAACATTATTAAGACACGGCAAACTTTATTTATGTCGTGAATTAATTTCCTTAA